CTCTCATCTGTTCTCTGTGGGCATTGCATGACATGGGTGCACTTACCTACATGCAGGTAATACATGCATACACATAAAACAAAAATAAATAAAATAAAATAAAAAATAATAATAATCTTCAAAAATAAGCTAAGGTAGTTTTAGAAAAGAGAATGGTGCTGGGTGTGGTGCAATACGCTTTTAGTCCCAGCACTCATGAGGCAGAGGCGGGCAGATTTCTGTGAGTTCCAGGCCAGCTGGGGCTATAGAGAGACCCTGTCTCAAAAAGACCGGGGGGGGGGGGGCAGGCAATATAGGAGGCATAATGATAATGACAGGATGGATTATAAACAGGGTCGCTGAGAAGCAAGTCCTAGGGGAATACTACAATAGAGAGGAGTTTTAGAGGCAAAGTAATTTCCTTATCTAAATTAGTTTGGCTCATGTGAGAGATGAACATTCTGAACTGCATATAAAGTATGCCTCTGGTCCTGATTTGTATAGGGAGTCCAATCATAACATTAAGATTCTGTGCCACAGAGACTAGAGAGGTTCAAAAGCTAATGATTAGGTAGGTAGCCCTTTTCAAAAATATTTGTACCTCTAAATCAAGATTAAGGTTTTATTTTGTTTTTGTGTATGTGTTTGGCTGTAGTACTGGTGATCAAACCTAGGGTCTTTGCTAGGCAAATTTTCTATCACTGAGCTACATCGCCAGCCCCTTCAAGGCTTCTTAATAAGGATACCTTGATAGAATTATCAGAGTTCACGAAAGTGGCCTGATAAAAATTCATCTTGAATTTTAACCTCTAGCTGAAATCCTTGATGGCAGGTGCATGCGTGAGTGCATCCGTGTATGTGTGGGTTAAAGCTAACACTAGGGAAATACAAGTAAGAGGGGTTACAGGCTAGCAGTAGTTTTAACTCTACTCTCCCGACCCCAAGAATTTGAGATCTGATTTACTGAAGAATGGTGATGACTGATTTAGCTGATTCCTGCTGAAAAGTGGTGTCACCTGATTGGGTCCTTCTCCTTGAGTCTTGTTACGGTAAGGACAGAGGATAGGGAAGTGGAGTATCTCTCATCTGTTCTGGGGTCCTTGGTAGAAAGAGGTCATCATAGAGGTCAGAGTTGGCATCCCTTGAACAACTCTGTGTTTGAAGTTTCAGAACCTGGAATGTATTGCAGTTTGTTTTGCTTTTTTAATTAAATCTCCCTTTTCTAGGTCTTTGGTGAATTAACTCAGCCTGCACATTACTAGTCTGTCACTGTCATTCCCAAAATGGCATTTTCATATTTGTTCTCACACAATCTTAAAATGGTCTCCATATTCACATTTTAATCTGTATTTTATATGATTGTTCTCCTTTGTAATCTTATTTTGATATATTTCAAATATATTAAACAATCTAAAATATGTAAAACATTATTCTAAGATAGTATTTACAGGATTCCATTAGGCTACCACAGTGGTTTATAAAAATGAAAGGTTGGGAATTCCTTTTCTTTTTTTCTTTTTTGATCTTTTTGAAACAGGGTTTCCCTGTAGCCCCAGCTATCCTGGAACTCATATGTAGACCAGGCTGGCCTCAAACTCACAGAGATCCACCTGCCTCTGCCTCCCAAGTGCTGGGACTACAGGCATGCACCACCATTTAGAATTCCTTTTCTAAATTACTTGGCTCCATCTTACAAAGTTCCTCTTTTTCCAGAGCCTCTACTTTTAACACATCCATTACATGTAATATATGTATTTATGCTCAAGAAAAGGAAATATATAGCTTTTCTTTTAAGCAGTGGGTTTTTTTTATACTCACTAGATAGTACAGTCCATAAAAAATTTAAATACATCATATAAGGCACTATGACATGTGCCAGCACTAAGGAGGCAGAGGCTGGAAGATCAGGAGCTCAAGGTCATCCTTAGCCACAAAAGGAGTTTAAAGTCAGCCTGGGTTCAACCCTCTCTCAAAAAACAAAACAAAAATACTAATTACTTCAAATAACTGTCCCACCTA